ATAAAATTTTCAATTTACTCCAACTGACTAGTAACATAGCCTCAAAATATAGAAAGGAAAAATATGCAGATCTACAATGATGAGTTTCAAAATCTACTGTCATAGTGAGAGATTTTAACATACCTATTTTTGTAATTGATAATTCAAATATAAAAATTTGTAAGGATAAGGCAGATCTGGATTGCATAATTAACACACTTATTTTAAAGGTATATGTAGGAGGTTATATAACGAGACACTACATATTATTTTCAGGCACACAAATGAAACTCACCATGTGCTAGGTTGTAAAACTAGCTTCAATAAATCCAAAGGACTCGATATCATACATTATCTGACTACATTAAGGATTAGGCAACATTTACTGCAAGATAATAAAAGAACCTTCATGTGAATAACTGAAAATTAAAGTACACTGTCTAAAAAAAAGATGCATGGCCTAAATAAGAAACCATAATGAAAATTATAGATACTTAAAGCTACATGATAGCAAAATATTCATATCAAAACATATGAGAGGCAGCTAAATAGCAGTGACAAAAATTTATAGCTCTGAGAGCTTAATGAGCTAAGCATATACCTTAAAAGCTTAGAAAACAAAGGGCACCTGGGTGGCTCAGTTGGTTAAGTGACTAACTTTTGATTTTGGCTCAGGTCATGATCTCACTTTTCGTGGGATTAATCCCTGGGTAGGGCTCTGTGCTGACAGCATAGAGCCTGCTTGGGATTCTCTCTCTGCCTCTCCCCCAATCACATGCATTCTTTCTCTCTCTCTCTTTCTCTCAAAAATAAATAAATAATTTTTTTTAAAAAAGCTTAGAAAGTAAATAAGAATTCAAAGAATCAAGAAGAACTAATAAATAATTAATGAAAAAAAACCCGAAGAGGTGTGTGTGTGTACATGTGTGTAAGTATGTGAAAGAGCTAATAAAGTAGTCCTAATTCTGACAAAATTAGTCAAACAAAATGAAATAATATACACGTTAATAATGAAAAATTAGTCATAATAATAGATGATAAAACTACTTAAACAGATAATGAGAGAATATTGTAAAACCATTTTATTCTATTAAGCTTGAATAATATACATATGTGGTAGTAAAATATCTTAGAAAATAAATTTAATGAAAATTGATTCCATAAGAAAACCTAAGTAATCCTATAATCCTTAAAGTTTAATACATTCTGATAACGTAAACTTCACACCCTAAAGGTTTTGCTGGTGTTTTGAGTTAATACTCAAGGACCAGATAATTCCAACCTAGCCCAAATTCTTCCATAGAATAGCAATAGTGAGACTATCACTCATCTTATTTTATGAGACGATATCAATAACAGATAAAGTTAGAACCAAACAGGATAATTGCATGTCAATCACAATTCACATATATAAATGCAAATATCTAATGCTTATCTTTATATCTGTATCTTTATGTAAAAGCTATTGCATATTTACCATAGAGCATTTATTCTGGGAATGCAAAGTTGATTTAATATTAAAGATCGAATACTACACTACATCATATTAACATATTTAAATGAAAAAAAATGAGAAAATCAATAGCTACAGAAGGAGCATTCAATAAAACATCTCCTTATAATAAAAGTGCTTACCAGAAGATGAATCAAACTTTCTTATCATGGGACAAGGCATTTACAAAATAGCCATTGCAAATGCAATATTTAAAGTTGACAAAATATTTTCTCTTTATTATGTTAAGGATAAAACAAGATGCCCTTCTCTACTTTTATTCAACTTTATACTGGCAGTCCTAGCCAATGCAGTAAGACAGGAAAAAGAAATCAAAGGTATAAGGATTGGAAAGGAAGAAACAAAACTGTCATTATTTTCAGGTGATATGATTGCCTGTGTAGCATATCTCAAAGGCTCTATAGGTAATTTTTGAATTATTAGTGGAGTTTATTAAGCTTGATACAGTTAATATATAAAAGGCAACTGAATGTCTATACAGTAGCAGCAATTAGCTACAAAACATAATTTTATAAAAGAAAGCATTTACAATAGCAGTAAAAATATACTATACTTAGAATTAAATTTAATAAAAATAAGCAAAGGGAAAGCAATGAAAAATAGTACAAAATATTGAAAAACATTAAAGAAGAGCTAAATAAATACCATTATAGACCAATTTCATAGATGGAAAGGTGAAACATCTTTTTTTAATGCTTATTTATTTTGAGACAGAGAGAGGGAGAGAGAGAATCCCAAGCAGGCTTCATGCTGTCGGTGCAGAGCCTGACGCAGGGCTTGTTCGCACCCACAGGGCTCAATCTCAAGAACCATGAGATCATGACATGAGCTGAAATCAAGAGTCAGATGCTTAACCAACTGAGCCCCCCAGGCACCCAGGCACAGAGGCCTTTTCTCCCTAGATTGATATATGAAGTTAATGCAGTATAATCAAAATTCTAATGGGTATGTTTGTTTGCTTGTTTGTTTCATGTTTTGGACAACTTGACAAGTTTATTTAAATATTTATATGGAAGGTCAGAGATCCAAGAATTGCTAAAACACTCTTGAAGAAGAATAAAATAAATAGGAGGATCTTTACTACCATATTTCAAGACTTATTATAAAACTAGAGTAGTTAGGAAAATCGATAACTATAGAATTCGGGAGCTTAAAACAAATTCATGCATATATGGAAAACTGAATTTATTCAGATCACTGGTGCTGAGACCACTGGTTATCCCTATGGCGTAAACAATATAACATTCAGTTTCCAGGTGGATTAAGACTCATTGCCAAATGCAAAACTATAAAGGCTTTGGAGATAAATATAGTAACGTTAATTTATCATCTTGAGAAAACTATTTTCTCAAACAAGACAAAGTATAAAAGAAAATCTTGGTAACTTGAAATTAAAATTCAGAACTTAGTTCATTAAGAGAGATGGACATACAGAGAAAGAAAAGCTAAGCCCAAACTGAAAACAGGTATTTGTGGCATATACAGCTGACAAAGGATTGATTATCCTCCACATTATATAAGGAAGCATTCCAATGAGTCAATAAGAAAAAGACAACCCACTATGAAAATGAGGAAAAGAGAGGAACCAGGATTTCAGAGAGAAAGCACAATAGTTCACCAATACATGAAAACATGGACACTCTATTAGTTATAAGAGAAATGCTAATTAAAATCACAGTGGAACACTATTTTGTGCCCACCAGACTGGCTATAAATGAAATTTGATAATACGAAGTTGTAACAAGTATGTGGGGCAACAGAAATTGGAAAGAGTAAAAACTGGCTCAATACTTTGGAAAGAGGTTGGAAATAACCTAATGAAGTTGAACATACACCAATCTTATTACCTAGTAATTCTAGGTTTATAATCCAGGGAACCAGCGTGAACCCGTGCATGAGAACCGGAAGACATGTACTAGATGTTGGAGAACAACATTATCTGTTAATTATCCCCTGTAGTGGGCAGCCTTTAAAATGGCGCCCAATGATTCCTGCCTCCTGATATTCATGGCTTTGTGTAAGCCCTTTCCCTTGAATGTGGGCTGCAAATAGTGACTCACTTCTAACAGTGAGAAAATCAGATGTCACTTTTGAGATTAGGTTACAAAAAGAATCTGGCCTTCATCTTTTTCTCTCTCTCTCTCAGGGAGCCTTTGCCCTGTGGGGAGCAAGCTTCCATGTTCTGACTAACTCCCAAACAGAGGCCCATTTGGCAAGGAGTTGGTGTGTCCAACCAAAGCCAGTAAGCCCAAGAGGCTTGCCAACAGTCACTTGAAGGAGTTTGAAAGGGGTTCCCTCTACCCTCAGCCTTGAGATGATTGTAGTCCCAGCCAATACCTTGCTTACAGCCAGTGAGAGATACTGAGTCAGAGATGGATTCCTGACCCACAGAAACTGTGAGCTAATAGGTTTTTGTTTTGTTCTGTGTTAAGCTGCTAAATCTTGTAATTTGTTATACAGCAGTAGATAGCTAATACATTTTCCAAACTAGCAACAGCCTAAATGTAGAATGGATAAATTAGTGAAAATGAAGGAATCATCAACAATGGTGAATCTTGAGTATGTGCAGTATACTGCCATTAATATGAAAATAAAAATAGGGAAAGCAAGCATGTACATATGTGTTTCTGGAATGCACATGCAAATCACAAAGCTATAATGAAAAGGAAGGGAATGATTAATACAAAAATCAGGAGAGATGTCACCTTTCAAGTAAGGGAGACGGAAGCTTCTAAGGTACTGCAATGTCTTATTTTTTCAATCTAGGTGATGGTGCAGGCATTCTATTCATTATTCTCTAGACCATTCTTAGATGCTTTATATGCCTCTTAATAATTCTAAAAAACCAAAGCAAAAAAGAAAGCAAGGCATTGAAATGAAGTCAATGGACAAATAAATGGTTTGGAATATGAAAGGATAGATGGATGATTGGATGGATGGATGTTGGGCTAGACAGATACATTGGTCCTTTATGTCTAATTTGACTTGCTCTTCTTGCACATGATTATGTGATTCATACATCCTTTCCTTCTATAGGCAAGGCCTTCACAGTGCATTGCAGGTTGACCCAACTCACTGGCCAGCTCGGCAGTTTCCCTGGGAACTGTTTATAATCCAGCACTTACTGCTCAGGCCAAAGGCATTCCAGACTAAACGTTCTGCCTGCTTCTCCACACCTACCCTCACCGCCACCCCTCCCGCACCCCGCACCTCCCTTCCACGGCGCTGACACGCTGAGAGCCTTTGGGTGCCTAGAACACTGGAGTAGGTGAGGACATTTACCTTTCGAGGGGCGGGGTGCGGTGGGGTGGGAGTGGTCCTGAAAGGCAAGCGACGCCCAAATAATTCAAGAGCGAGGCCCCAGGAGACCAGGTCACATCACCTTCAGGGTTCCTCTTAGCTCAAATCTCGCTGTCTCCTTGCAGAGCGCGCACACACACACACACACACACACACACACACGCACGAACGCGCGCGCGCGCGCAAGAAAACGGGGAAGGGGAAGGTCATCGCCTTCGCGCAAGCAAGGGTGAAAAACAATGCGGCAAGAAAGGAACAGAGACCGAGCTGCAGGGAGACAGCAGAGAAGGATTCCGGACGTAAACAGCAAGAGGTCCTCTGTTTAACACGTTGCCAACCTCCCCGTGGGGCCCCGCAGAGGCCCGCGCCATCCCCATCCTTCCCTACCCCTCACCACGCACAGTGTCCCCCGGCACCCCCTCTGTCTCCCGGTCTCCCCTCCCGCGCCAACCGCCTCTTCGGGCCGTGGCCTGTGTCACTACCAGGCCTCTGTGGGTCCAGAATCCATCGCTGACCCCCACTCACCTTTTGCCCCGCTCTTCCCTGCAGCGCGGGTTCGGGGCAGAGAGGACCTGCTCTTAGGGCAGCGACAGTTCCTAAGGGAAGGCGCTTCTCAGGTGAGAAGGGACTGGACGGCCGAGGAGGCTGGGGACGTGGAAAGTCTCTGGCAGACCGGGTGGGGGGGCGCGTGGGGAGTGGGGGCGTCCCGGGAGCTGATTGGCGGCCGCAGCGCTGGGGCGGAGCCTGGCCCGCAGCCCCAGGACCGCGGAGGCCTCGCTTTGTGTCAATTTCTGCAGGGAGATGCGGCCCCAAATCCCGGGTGGAGACCCCAGCACCCTTCCAGGGAGTGCTTTAGGGCAATTCGTTCAAAAATAAATCTGAGACTATTTATGAACAGGTGAGCAGTTGATGTATAATAATATATTTTTATGTCAACAATGCACAGTTATTTCTTTTTTTTTTTTTTTTACAAAGTTTATTGTCAAATTAGTTTCCACATAACACTCAGTGCTCATCCCCACAAGTGCCCTCCTCCATGCCCATCCCCCCTCCCCCCACATCCATCAGTCCTAGTTTTTGTCAGCGTTCAAGAGTCTCTCATGGTTTGCCTCTCTCCCTTTCCCCCACCATTTCCCCCCTTCTTCTCCCCTTTGTTCCTCCATCAAGTTCCTCCTAATCCTCCTATACGTGCAAACATGTGATATTTGTCCTTCTCTGCCTGACTTAATTCGCTCAGCATAACACCCTCAAGGTCCATCCATGTTGCTACACATGGCTAGATTTCATTGTTTCTCATTGCCATGTAGTATTCCATGGTATAGATAAACCACATCTTCTTGATCCATTCGTCTGTTGATGGACACTTAGGCTCTTTCCATGTTTTAGCTATTGTGGAGAGTGCTGCTATGAACACTGGGGTCCATGTGCTCCTATGCCTCAGCATTTCTGTATCCCTTGGGTAAATTCCTAGCAGTGCTATTGCTGGGTCATAGGGGAGTTC